GCTACTTTCAAGCATGATGACTCCTTAGTTTGAGAAAAATCACAGACCAGTAGAGCACAAGCTGCAAGATTTAATTCTAGAGCAATAGCAAGATTCTATAGTATAACATTATCACCCCCATTACTTCGTAAGCCAAAACTTAGAAATTTCAGCCCTCTATCATACTTAGCCCCAGCACCAATAAAGTCACCTTCCTTAAAGAAGACATTACCCTCCTCTTTCAAGACCTTGGCTTAATTATAAATTCTTCAGGGGCAATTATTATTAGCAAAGGTAACAATACTTTCATCATAATCATCATTTAAATGAATAAGCATAAGGGCATTAAGTAATTTATGGCAATCCAGTTACCACAAAGGAACAGAAGGAGGATTGGTCTAAGAGGAATAAATGAAATCAAACTAAAAAAAAACCCAAGACAGCGGTGGTTGGAGTACTACCACTAGCGACCTCGTCCGCGAGAAAGCTTAGGGCAGCCCAAACTAAGCAGCGGTTTGTATCTTGAAACTACCAAATTAAAACACAAAGTGTTTATTATTATTATTATTATTATTATTATTATTATTATTATTATTATTATTATTAACAGAGCTAGAGAGATGGGAAGGCGGCCTCGCGATCAGAGATCGAAGCCCAAACTCGCAGTGAACTCAACTTGAGTCTAGGTCTAATAGAGGTGGCGGGCCGCAGCAGTCCTAACTCTAAGACCACCCGACACCACTAGATCGAAACACCAAAGCTCGCGGCTGGGTGCATCGATTCGAATTACAGCCAATAGAGGCCCTTTAGATAAGGTAGAGGTGATCAACTTTGGCCTGGCCCGATTCGGCCTGAAAATAGGGAAAGTCTAAAAACGCATATTTAGTTAAAAACCCGAACCCGGCCCGAAAAAAGCCCGCTACATTTTTCGGGTTTGGGCACTAGATATTATGTTAAAGGCCCGGCTTGGCCCGAATTTTTTATCACCTTTAAGATGAGGCGTGACAGGAGGGGTTCGCCGGCGATTGAGGAGCAAGCCAACCCACTCAAATCGCCGGCGGACCGTTAGAATTCTGTTTTAAAAAGGAAGCTGGTATTTTTTTTAAAACCAAGGGCTTGATACACGGTTTTTGGCTTTTTCAAACTGATGCGTGAGGCGCGTTCAGTTGTTGGTCTAGTATTGTAGATTTTTTTATAAGTACTACTGGAAGTGTCTCTTATACTACTAAAAGCATATATAGTATTATCGAGAATGTACGGTAGTACTATTTTACCCCTCGGTAGAACTCTCAAATTTGCCATTATTTTCAAAATTGTCACTGTTAGACATTTGTCAATGTCTAACTGTTAGATTAAGTCTTCCTCTCATTTCACATGTAATTTTTCACTAGAGTAACACTGATAATTAAATACTAAATAATTAATTTATCACATAAAATTATGCTATGATGAGTGTCAAAACTCAAAACTACTTCTGGGCAAATGGAGTAGTAACTTCATCCCTTTTTTTTTGTTTTGTTTTGTTTTGTTTTGGGAATGCTTATTCTCATTCCCTTAAATTCGCTATTACCTCTATAATCTAAGAATTAATACACAAAGATAGTAAATTAGTACTCCTTCTGTTTTTAAATATTTGCTCCACTTATCATTTTTTGCCGTCTTTAAATACTTGCTCCATTTCCTTATTTGAAAAGATTTTACAATATTTAATTCATTTCTCTCAACTAATGGACCCAACATAAATCATACTCCCTCCGTTTCTATTAGTTAGTTTCATATACTGTTTTGGGCGCTTAAAAAAGATCTACCCATATTAAATGTATTCCATTTATAACTTAGTTTTTATTTCCTATTTTATACATATTAAATTCTGATTGGTGGTTTAAAGATTTATATTATTGTAGATGTCGTATGGCTATTAATTAATATATTATAATTTTTTAGTTTTCATTTCCTATTTTATACATAATTAAATTCTGATTGTTAGTTTAAAGATCTATATTATTGTAGATGTCGTATGGCTATTAATTAATATATTATAATTTTTTTAGTTTTCATTTCCTATTTTGTACATATTAAATTCTGATTGGTAGTTTAAAGATCTATATTATTGTAGATGTCGTATGACTATTAATTAATATATTATAATTTTTAGTTTTTATTTTCTATTTTATACATATTAAATTCTGATTGGTGGTTTAAAGATCTATATAATTGTAGATGTCGTATGACTATTAATTAATATATTATAATTTTTCCCGTTCAAAAAATAAAAATAAAAATAGAAATCTAATTGGTTAAATTAATTGATTGTGCATTAATGACATGACTCTAAGTAAGGAAATCACACCCTTGAATTATGCAATATGGTTGATATCTTCCCAAAGAAAATCAAAAAATTTAAATAAGGCAAAAGTAATCTTGAATTGTTTTTATACTTATAAGTTAGATTTCAAATAGTTTTCTTTTCTTATTTTATGTAATTTATTCCATATGGGACTATCATATGGAAATGGAGGGTGTATATTATTAATTTCATATTCTCCCTCCTCCAATTCTCTCAACTATTTTTGTTTCAACAATTTTTTATTCTTTCACCTACCCTACTACCTCCATATTTTATTACTTTCTCCAATTTCTCCTAAAACTCCATGCATGGAGAAATGAAGCAAGTAATTAAAAATGGAGGGAGTAATAAAAACAAAGATAATAATACAAACATTTTAGGTCAAATGTAATGTGTGTAGTGTAAAAATGTAAGAATAATAAGAGAAAGCAATTGAAAAAGTGTTAATATTGTGAAATAAGGGGAGTAAGTTATGAGTTTATATAAAAATAGAAAATAATGTAAAAAAAAAAAAGATTTAAAAATCTCTTATTTTCATATTAGTTCAATTCAATTCATTTAAGTTTTAGGTCATTATAAGTTGTTATAGTTATTCGACTAGGTAAACCTACAAATAAATTAATTAAATTGAATTAATTTTACCAACCAATAAGGTGCGTGTTAAGTTGCGGTTTAACTCTTATAGCTTAATTTGTTCATTTTCTTTATTTAGTTACATCGTTAATTAGCGTGCCAATAATGTGCGTGTGATGCGAGTATATTAAAAAAAAATATCCGATTAAGTGTTAATTTTAATATATTTACTCGGTTCAATTTCATTCATCTCAAAAGACACAAGCCCGTATTCTATCTCTAGTTATATTCAATTCTCTGTTGACATTTTTTATATTCAATTCAAAAGACACAAGCCCTTAGTATATCTCTAATTATATTCTTTGTGGACATTTTTTTTCATTGTACTCATTTGCCTTTTCATCAAAATCAATACTCAAAAACTATCATCCTTTTTATTTTTATCTTTGAGAAAAGTCATATCCTACTATTTTTTTTTTTACATGAAGGTCATATCCTACTATTAGCCTTCATGACTTCATCAATTTTTAATCCCACTATTTTTTTTATTTTTTATTTTTATTCTTTTAAGAATAAAGTACTCGTCAAGAATAAGGTAGATAATAATTCAAAAAAAAAAAAAAAAAAAAAAAAAAAACCCGAGAATCAAGCCATATATTATGTTAGCTTGTCTTGTTAGAGAAAAAGGTAGTTTAGTTTGTTACTAATCTTTTTTGACACATAGTTGGTTACTAATCTTGTTAGAAAAAAAGGTAGTCTAGTTTGTTACTAATCTTTTTGACACATAGTTTGTTACTAATCTGGTAGCCTAGTTGGTTACTAATCTTTTTGACACATAGTTTGTTACTAATCTAATTGTAACTGTTTAAAAAAGTCTTATTTATACATGACCCAATTACTACCCGTCTACACCTTATTTACTTCCCAAAACTTATTTATTTATTTTTTTTTTTTTTGATTTTTGGAAATATATTGAGACATACAACTCAATGGCAGAAACTAGTGGGTTAGGCCTTTGGCTATGCCTAACCAACCCTAAAACTAATATAGTGTCACATGCTGACTACTTTGCCTTAGTCACGTATCGTATGCCACCCGCTTATAATCAGTTGTAACACAAGTTAGGCTTTTTCCTTGGCACAACTCCTTGTGCCTAATGTAGCGCAACCCTTTTGTGCTGAACGAATGAACTTGCTAGCACGTCCCCTTAGTGCTAAGCAATAGCCCTTGGTTGAACTAAGCACTCTCCTAGTGCCTTAGTCTGAATTTACGACTTAGTGTCGTAGGAAATTAAGCACACAAGCTATCAATCTTGCTAGTATGTACATTAGTGTTTGAAGGAAGAGATTGAGTTGCAAGAGAACACAAGTGCTTAGAAATGCCTTTTGTATTACTCTCAACTTAGAATGTACAAATGAGCCTTGAAGCTTATATATAGTGCTCCATCCTACTTACAAGCTTCTCTAAAAACTTCCCTAACCTCCTCAAATGGAGGGTTCTAAACTACAAGTATCTATAGAATTCTCACCTTCAAAAGAACATACATACAAAGAGGTTTCTACATCCTAACTATAGAATTCTATGGACTCACTTATGTACATACATAGAAGAACCTAGAAGACTTCTACTATGTACAAGACTCTTTGAATATTTTAGAGTCATCATCCCTAGAGTACTCCAAAAGATCCTCTTAGAATAGCCCAAAACCTTCTAGAAGCTTCTTGCGTTTTTCGAAGTTCAGGACCTCATCTCGGAAAACCAATACCACTATGGTCTTCCTTGGCCCAAAATACGATGAACCCCCAAAATAGTGCCCATTTGAACTTCGTTTAGGCCCTCAAATGGCCCGTTATCGTGTTACTATCAATTGAGTATTCATTAAAAATATAAGGCAGAAACTAAACAAAGCTTTATAGGGAGAATTGTGCTGCTGGGCACCAAAGGCAAGCCCCCTAGCCATGATTATGCCTTGTTGCCTACTGACCCAAATGACGCCCATCCTTTGTGTGGGAGATAATCTGTGAAAATAGTCCTTTACGCAAAGCATTAAGCTCAAGAACAAATTTAATCCTAAAATTAGTTAAAATTTGCAGCAATCATAGGACCGAATGAATTATTATTTTCAATTCCCAGTAAATAATACGATGTGCTTTCAAATTGACAACCATTATTGTACTTGGACAGGAGGGCTACTTATTTCCATCGCTAAATTTATTTTCCTGTATCCACCACTGAATGTAAGGCCTCCATACATAGGTGTTGCCAGTTTATGCACCTGAACTAAACAGGATACACTGAAATCATACGTCCCATATAGTAACACCTATATGACCAATTCAGAAATATCTGAAGAAATTTTGAGCATCAACAATGTAGCTACAATGCACACCAACATAACCTCACAACTGTAATGTAATGGAACAAAAGAGCCATAAATTACAAATCAAGATTGATGCATTAACTCATGAAAACTATTGAGCGACACAATCTTGTAATATATCCGATTCTTGCAGCTTTCACTGAATCCAGGTCCTTCGACTGCAAAGCAAAGCGTAGACCAGATAAGAAGAGAGAGCCTATGCATTAATCAAGCAATTAAAATTAGAGACTTAAACACTACATTAAGTACTGGAAAAGCAGTATATGATGACAGTAGAACATTTCCTCAGATGAAGAGATTAGTAGCTTCCACTATGTGACACAAATGGAGTTCTTAAGTTATGTCTGATGTTATCCCTCCATTTTATCTTATTATTTTCAAAAATGAAGGTAGTTTAGCTTACCTTGTTTAACAGGCCTTTGACAACTGCACAAAACTCTTAGTCTGCAAGAAAGTAAAAATAACAGTCAAACTATGTACTAGTACATTGAATATTTGTTGGTCATAATTATTTTAAAAAAACATGTTAATCAAAGGTAACCATGCATGCAATGGAGAACCACGAAATTATGGTTGACTCTAAATTGTAGTATGGCTAAGGCTACAATACAAAAAAGAGTGAAAAGATTGACACTAAAAGATTGACACAAAATTGAACCTTGAATCACAACAAGTATACAACATCAGAAAAAGATTACTAGAATTAAGAACGACATCAGTGATTTGAAATGTAAACAGGTATATTGGTGTAAACTTGCAAGTCATAACACTTTCTCATGCAGACCATGTCAATCAGAAGGCACAACAGTGGCCACATAAAAATTATATAGGCCCGGAGAAAACACATTTATCCTAGGTTTTATAGCAACTTGAACTTCGGTTTAAAAATTTAGACTAGCCTTGTGCAATGCACCTGCATGTGAAACAAATGCTACAACAGAGAATAAAGAATGCAAGGGTTAACTCTATACATGTTCTTTTGGTTAGTCTATTACTACGCATTTGCCAAATGATTCTTTGAAAGAAACAGATTGCACCCATTTATCTTGCATTTTACCCTGCTAGTGATCCAGAGCCGAGACCAAATTAGATTTGTAAAGTAGGGTCACAATATACTATATACTTTGTTTTAATTTGCTCGTAACACAGCACTTTGTCATGCACTTTAAGGAAACTATTAGACTAGGTATACAGAAATTAATTGAAATAATTTTAACACCTCCAAGAAGAAGTATTAAGTTGTTACGATTAAAACTATCTAGCTTAATTTGTGTATTTAACTTTTCTAATCAATTCATCAAATAGCATGCCAAGAAGGCGTGTTGCAGGTGTAATAAAACAGAAGTACGTATTATCTTAACATGTACCTGATTAACAAATTTGAACATAATAAACCCTTGGGTCATTAGAAACATGAGATGTCGTTACATATTGGGTCAGATAAAAAGGGTGAGGGAAACTTGGGAAAATATAGTCATGTTTTTGATAGTTAGAAATCTGAATTTTGAGTGATTGTAATATGGGATAAGTACTCATGCAGGCAATGCAGCATAAAAACATCAAGTTTTTCAATTTTCATGTAATCAACCTTACTGATATCTGACTAAGTCGTTCTTCGGTCTTTCTTGAATAATAAGAGAAAAAAAATATGGAGTCTTGACCAAAAGGTGGATTGCTTGGAAGGGCAGAGGGAAAAACAGAGGTTTCAAATCTCCTAACAAGATGTTAGCATGTCTTTTACACATAGGCATCAGGGCATGGAAGTCATTATAAATAATAACAAACACAATGAAAACTTGGCAACGGCTTCCTAACTCTAGTCACAGCGTTCTTGCAGATCCGTTCCCCTCCTTCGCCTCACAATTTACCTGGTGGGGGTTGATTGCCATGTACACGATATACTAGAATGCTCATATCAAGTTTTAAATACTTTTCAGGCCCTTAAATCAGCACTCAACTTGTTGGATAGGGAACCAAGGGAGGTGGACAGTGGACTGTAAGGAAAGAGGTAGAGAAGTTGGAAAAGATACTAACACAATGAAACTATGGCAACAGCTTCTTACTCTAGCCACCGTGTTCTAGCAGCAAATTGGTTCCCCTTCCTCGTCTAACAGTTTTAATTGGTGGGGAATTGATTGCCATGTAAAAGCCATACTAAAAATCTCTTACCAAGCTTAAGATGGTCTTCAGACTCTTGAAGCAGCTCTTACCTTGTCAGGTAGAGGGAGCCACTGAAGGTGGACCGTAGGAAAAGAGGTAGAGAAACGGGAATGTCTCAAGTAGGTGAATCAAGAGGTGCTTAATGATTGCTGCATCATTTAGTGACATACATTCAGAAACCCAATTTGCATCCATCCTTCTGCACTATCATATCTTTATACTATTATTGTTAACTCGTACATTGTAGTTGCTAGAAATTTTTCACTCAATTAGGTTAACACAAAATCACACCATATCACCAAGAAGATGCTACTTTAAAACCCTTCACACTTCTCTAGAACACAACAAGCATACAGAATGGCATGTCCTTACAACCTTTTATAAACAAAAGTAAAATTCTGCTGGGAGTTTAATTAAACGACTTACATATATCGTCTGCTTATGAGTTTATGACAAAAGATATCTTTTCCTATTTAAATTTTAGTCATATAAATATACAATGCTTAAAGGCATTCAATATCCAATAATCCCTACATTCGCTTTTGTTTGACCCATTGGAGTCTTGTTACTGTTTTAAATTTTGGTTGGGTGGAGTTGAGAGAAAAAATTGATGAGACCAAATGAAGTAGATGTGAGAGCAAAGTGGTGGTGCCTCATAGTCATTTATAGTATGGGACAAACTCAAAGAAACAACCCAAAAAGGAAAATCGGGACTAACAAAAATGGGACGAAGGGAGTATAATATAAATACTCTTTGGGTACACATTGCAAGCTAATGTCTTCATGTCCTGCATCACTATATAATAATCAATCTATGGTATTACTAAGCATAGCGGTAGAATTATAATGAAAAGTTTGTGCTAATTGGTAATATATTGAAAGGCTTACATTTGATTCAACCAAATCAACATGCTAAGCTATATAAATATTCTATGAAGCTATCTTTACTATTCATCCTAAGTATTAAATTAAAGTATTAGCGTCAAAGATGCCATGGGCAAGATCATTTAAGCAAGTGTAGCAAAGCCGACATAATTTTAATGATACCAAAGCACTGCCGTACATGTGAAAGACAACCACCTGTTGATTTATCTAATATTTGTTAGGTGAAGAAATTCATGTTATTTTGTTCCATCCTCAACAGCGAGATTAAAACAGAGCAAGGCCAATATAAAATGAATATGTGCAGCTGACAGATAAACACAGAAAAATTAACCTAATTTTGGCAGCAAATTTGTGGTGCAATGAACTCCTAACACCTCCCCCATCAAATCCTCAATATTATTAATTTAATCTGTTTCCAAAGGCTGTAATATCAGCAAAGTACTTGACGAAGACAGTAGATGAATCAAATCCTATCCAGCCAAAAGGCCATTGACTTGGTTTAAAATACGTGCTTTACAAGATGATTCCAATACAAATATTTTTAAACAGAACACAATTAAATTAAGTTTTCAAATACAAGATACATACACAAAACTGAAATTCAAAGCAATTAACAAACATCTAATGACCCACTAGCTATGCATAGAAGATTTAATAGTTACTCAAAAGTCAAGCCATTCAACAATACATTATACTATTACAACTTCTCATTGGTTTTCTGTCCATAAAATTAAATATGAACTGCTTCAATTTCCTCAATTAGTACCTTCATTTGACTAAAACCAGCATCATTGATCGATCACCGGTTTCACCTACCGGTAACCTTGTCAACTGGTCAATTTTTTTTTTTTCTTCATTCTTTTGAGCTATATTGATTTTAATTGATTTCTTTAAAGCAATCTAACAATTAACACGCTATTATTTTTTTTTAAACTCGCAACTAAGATCAACATACTATTTATTAAAATCCAAATGATCATTCTATACAAATTAATAATAACAAAAAACAAAGTCAAGCTAATTGATAATAAACCAATTCGAAAACCAAATTCAATCGGGAGAAATAATAATAATAATAATAATAATAATAATAATAATAATAATAATAATAATAATAAAATAATAATAATAATAATAATAATAATAATAATAATAATAATAATAATAATAATAATAATAATAATAATAATTAATAATAATAATAATAATAATAATAATAATAATAATAATAATAATAATAATAATAATAATAATAATAATAATAATAATAATAATAATAATAATAATAATAAAAAAAAAAAAAAAAAAAAAAAAAAAAAAATAAAATAATAATAATAATAATAATAATAATAATAATTAAAGAAAGAAATGACCTTTGTGCAAGTGCAACTCAGCAACATCCTCGTGCAACCCATCCTCTTCCGGCACAGGATGCAAAGATCCAACTTCGGCTTCGGCACCGGAACCGGCACTCTCTTTCTCATCGGGATACCGAACAACGACAACAGGACAAACACAATGATGAACACAATAATCACTAACACTCCCAAGCCTCCCTTTAACAGTCCTCCTAGAAGCCCCAAACCCTCTACTCCCCATAATGACGACACTCAACCCTAACCTCTCAATCTCCAAACACAACCTCTCCTTCATATCATGATCCTTCACAACATGAACCCTAAACGGAATCTTAGCATCCACAAGCGGTTTCGCTAACTCAGCAATCTTCCCCGCTGTAAAACTATCAAAATCATCCTCTAATTTCTTCTTCTTGACCTCATCGTCATTAGACCCATCAACAGCATCAGCGGCAGCAGCGGAGAAGTGGGTGGAACCCCAGTCAGCGCCGTAGAGGATGGAAGTGGGTTGGACGTGGAGAAGTGTGACGGAGTCGGAGGGACGGAGGTAGTTTTGGACAGCCCATTGAACAGCGAAGGCGCTCTCGTCGCTGAGATCGACGGGAATTGCGATTTTCCGGTGGGGTTCATCGCCGGCGGCGGAAATGGTGGAGGAGGAAGACGGTGGAAGTGGGTAACGAGGTGATGATGGTTGAATTTCGATGGCAATTGGATGGTCGAGATTTGGTTTTGATGGTGAACTCATTTTAGCGAAAGTTGATGAATGTTGGATTGGATTGTTTTATTTTTTTTTTTGTGCCGGGAGAAAGAAAGAGTTGGAGAGAGAGAGAGAGAGAGAGTGTGGGAGAGGTGTCAACAGAGACAGCGCAAGCAGGTGATGTGTTTTGGTGGTGTTTTGACTTTATGTGGAATTGAAAAATGAGAAAGGAAAAGGAAAAGGAAAATGAATGGGAATATTGCGTTTATGGATAATGTTGAAGTCTACTCTAGAGACTTCTATTCTTGCACGATAACTATGGGGGAAAATAGTGTACATTTGTAAATTATAATGCCCGAATTTTTATTTTTATTTTTATTTTGTACAAGCAAACCTACATGAGAAACAACAAGAAAACTAAAATGATCACAAAAGAAAGTGATTCCATCGAGCTTGAACTGCTAACCAATGAACAGGCAAAATCTACGACCGAGGAACCTGACGAATACTGCATGCATAAACTTGAATAAGCAAGGTCCTAATTTCCCTAAGAAGCCAAACGCAAGAGATATATTCGACCTAGTTTGACACAACAAGGAAACTAGAGTAGCACAATCCGTGTAAATAAGAATCCAAGAATAGCCCTTCCGAATCGCGGCCTGAAGACCCCACCAACAAGCCTACAACTCTGTGTGTAGAGGAGAAGACGTGCGACAAGCCCTAGCACATCACTTAGCACCAGATCTGACTGTAAATCCCGAAAAATCCAATCTACCCCGATAGAGTTATTAGTGGCGATCCAAGCTCCGTCCAAAATGAAACACACATCAAGAGGATCCTCCCCACCCCCTCTTAGACAATGCATCAAACTGGGAAACTGAGCTGAAGAAAGATCATCACGACTAGGCACAGACGTAGTGCGAAGCCGAGCCTGTTTAATTCTATTGAACCAGTCTGGTGAGAAGGTTGCCTATATGCATATAAACTGATTACGAGTTAACCAGATTGCCCAAAGAAGTGAAATGAACCATAAGAGTCTCTCCCAATCTTGATTGCGTCCAAAATCCAAAACTACATCAGTGAACCATACCAGGAATGACTGAGCGTGAAGAGATGTACTATTAAAAGCCCAAGGCCCATCCAACAGTAGGTTGCTGACGAACGAACAGTCCCAAAAGAGGTGGGAGGGAGTCTCCATCGTTGTTCGACAAAAAATGCAAGTAGGATCAATCGAAATGCCACTCGTAACTAGAGTAGACGAGCAAGGCAAGGTGTTATTCAACAACTTTCAGCAGTACATTTTCAATTTTGGAAGAATGGGCATCCCCCAAAACCATTTCCACCAAGCATCCGGAACATCCTTATAGGCAACATAAGACATAAACTGTCTAGCCAACAAAGCATAAGCAGTTTTAGTTGAAAACTTGCCATCTCTTTTTAACTTCTAGTAAAAAAAATCATCCATTGGCTATAACGACCAATCAACAAAGAGAATACAGGCCGCTGTCAAATTGTCAAAGAACCGATGTACTTGAGAAACATCCCACGCGTTGGAACTCGGATTAATGATATCAGAAACGTGAGTCGGAGCTGCTGACTCATCATACCAGTCTTAAACTGAACCAACCTTCCCGGAGCCCAAACATTTTCAGTGAGATGAACTGCATGCCGTTCCCCACCTTCCAAGCTAACCCTGCAACTAGCGTAGACATTCTAGCCATAACACCTCGACAACCCCAAGAAGACATGTGAACCTTCAATGGTGGAAGGGAAAGGAGAGTGGAATATTTGGCCACCATAAGTTTAGAAACTAAAAGCTGAGGAGGATGATGAAAAACCCGCCAACATTGTCAAGCCAACAACGCCGAGGTAACTGTACTCAAACTAAGTCCTAACCTTCGTAGTCCTTTAGGGAGATGCAGTAAAGAAGACGATCTTATGGCCAAACCCCGAGAAGACGAAGAAGAGCGCCACTAAAATCAAGCTAACATCCTATTAATACAACTGCTGATCGAAGAAGGAATCTTAAAGACTGATAAAACAAGATTGAAAGAAGCAACCAAGACTAAGTTAATTATGACCAACTTCACAGCAAAGGACAACCTAAGAAAAGCAACATCTGAAAGGCGATTGGACACCTTACCCACCAAGTGGAAGGCCAAAACCTTACTTCGACTAAAATCAACCGATAAACCCAAATAAGAACCTAGAGAATCTTTATGCTGAAGTCGAAGACACGCAGCCAGGTAATCCCGATAATCAGATGGTGTGTTCGGACTAAACTTTACGAATGATTTCTGCAAATTAACCATCTGACCAGATTTATCATAGTGAAGTAGGGTGAACTAGGTCGTTGACTAATCCTCCTTAAGGTCAAACAAAATTTATAATCACTTAACAAACCTAAATACAAGTATAGAGGTAAGTCAAGGGTCGAACCACTAGGAACAGTTATGCTCAAGTGCTTTCAATTAATGCCTAAGCTAGGTCAAAGTTGAAGGTGAAGGAAAGACTATACAACTACCAAAACAATAAAGAATCAAACAAATGAAACACTAGGAAGTGGGATCAACATGTAATCATGACAATTTGAATAACTTGCGAAGGTAAAGCTAATTGATGGTTGTGAGGACTAATGGTAAAAGCTATCAATGGAATCGAAGGGCTATCGCCTAATCGTTAAACTAGGTTTCCTCTATGAATAACAAATTAGGTGAATCACAATTCAATTCAATCAACAAAAGCAATTCCTAAATTAAGTGGTCATGTCATTAGGAATCAAAATGCAATCTAGCATGGAAATCTAGGTTAGCTACTCCTATCAATCCAAAACACATGCACCATTCCATCAATCAATTTAATCTCAACAATCAATCAACATAATTCCCAAATTAATCACAATCAACCAATCATACAAGTTTTACCCAAACCCTAGCAAGCAACTACTCACTACAATTCATCATCTGATCAAAACAAACAAGTAATGAATTCAAAGATCAATCAATATGAAGAACAACTACACTAATCAAGAATCAAAGCAACAAAACTAAATCAAACCAACATGAAATTAAAGAAAACAATAAGATGTGATAGAGTAAGAAATGCTAATTGATTATTGAGAAGATCTTCAATACAATTGTCACCTCTACATCTTCAATCTCTCAAATCACCATTGAAATCTCTCAATTTCTCTCTTTAAAACTACTCCTAAACTATCCCTAAAACTAGAGAGAGAAACTCTCAACTAAGCTAAAATTATGAGGAAAATAATGTGTAAAAAAGATGGTGCGCCCGTGCTCTTCCGAGTTTCTTCAAGTCTTCGTAGCTCTGTGCGCTAGCAAATAAGTCCTCGTGTGCGCACGCAATATCTTCATGATAGTCACCAAGTATGGCAGATTCAAATGGAGTTTATGGTGGGTTCAACACCATGGTTTCATGAGAGCGCGACTTGAGAGCGTAAGAGCTAGAACTTGGAGCATGCCACTTTCTTACTTTTGAGCTTTCTCAATGCTATAAGCTTGCTCCAAAGGCATCTTCCAACTTGGTAAGCCACCAATATCAAGACATGAACCTCATACAATACCTACAACCACGAATATAGAACAAATAAAGGAGAAAACACTAGAAAATCCACAAAAGTAAACAAAAACACAAAATAAGCAAGAATAATGAAACTAAAGAGCAAATGAATAAAACTAAGAATTTATTAAGGAAGAAAGCTATGAAAAGAAGGTAAAAACAACCTAAAAACTCATCAAATGAGTGCCATAAATGACACTCATCAAATTCCCCCAAGCTAAACTTTTGCTCGTCCTCGAGCAAAACAAAAGCAAGTAAAGTAAAATGTTGAGCTTATTCACATGAGAAAAGAAGAGGGGAGATGAGAATGTATACTAACTCACTTTCGTAGGAATCATGGTCAATTTTAGCAACTAAAGACAAGCCATTTAAACCCTTAGATCGCCTTAGAGGACGAGTATGCTCTCGTGAGGGTTTCCCAAGAGGTTAACCCACAACTCTCACAAACCAAACAAACAAGGCAAAGCATGAAAAAGAAATCAAATGAAAAAAATTGCTCTTGAATGGACTTTTGCAAATAAACAAGCATAAATGAATGCAAGTCTTTCTAAACAAGTAAAGGAGTGCACATTCCAAGATACCCAAGGTTGATTGAAACTTAAAACATGCTAAGCATAGAGAACTAATAAGACACAATTCACCTTCATCCCAAACAATCTTACCGCGTTCTCCCTACTAGTTTCAAATCCACATCTAGTGAGCATCTCAATGATTCCTCGAAGGAACCGGAAAAGAAGAGAATTGAGGGCTACCCGACATCTTGATTATGCAAACTGCTCCATAAGCTTGACTCGCATCTCCCTCCACCGACTTGTCACTTAACCAAAAGGGTCAAAAGGTCTTTGAAGGGTTGTAACGTAAAGGAAAAAAAGGTAAAGGTAGGCTAGAAATTTGAAAAGTGGTGGTGTACCTAATTGTGAAGCAAAAGAATGGCCAATTCTTAGTCCCATAATCAAGTTATCACCAAAATTCAAACAAAAACACCCCCAAGCTTATTCAAAGCAACATCTCAAAACTATATACAAAAAGCGTAGACACGTCCTCCAAGCTTAAATGGAGCATTGAGGGCATTGTCCTCAATGTTCTAAACAAGGGAGATCACACCTACGCCAAAATGTCTTTGTGCTTTTCATTTTTCTTTTTTCTTTCAAAGCATTTGCTTTTGCTTTTTTTTTTATTTATTTTTTTTTTATTATTGATTTGTCCTCACCTCTTTTAACTATGGACAACTTTTCAACTTGCATTTGCCGTAATTCACATATTTTATACAAAACAAACTTGCTCATCAAACCAAACATTCATACTTAAACTCCCATAAACACCAAATAACTAAGGACCATAAGCTTCACAAAAACAAAGATGGAAACAAAAATGAAACAAATGGCTAAAGAGCTAGAGATATGGCTAGAAAAAAAGGTAAAGGGCTCAAATGGTTAGAAAGGAGGCAAATGTAAACCCAAAAACAAGAATAAAAAAAATATATAAGAAATAAACCTAGAAAAGGAAAAATAACCCCTCCCCCCGGAAAGATGCCTTTGTCCTTCCCAAATGGTTTGGTCGCAATCTTAGGAGATAAAAGTCAAGTTCTAGATAAAGTAAGTGATAGCTAAGGATCCATGTTTCGCACATGCAAAGTAGGTAGAAGGCTAGAAAAATGAAGCCTTACATGGTTGTAGCAGTAACTCACTATTAGCTTCAAATCAACTATAGGAAGCAACTCCATCTTACCACAAACAAGTGGACTAGGGCTTCATGTTCCTAAAGTTCTTAGCCAACCACCTTAGCAT